TGAGATGTGTTTGGTTCAATCTATATGGTTTGTGTGTAACTTTAAGTGAAGTCTGAAGCACGTTCTCCTCGCAGATCCAGCAGATCCCTATTATCAAGAATGGTGAAGGCTAGGAGCTTTGGGTGGGAGGGATAGAAGGAGCCCGATCAATGTTGGGCAAATCACTTCCATGTTATGTTTTTTTAAAGGCGTCTGTACCGGCAAATGCGTTGCACAAAGGCTTTTGGGTTGAGGACCTTGAGGTTGTTGAGAGGAGGAGGTAGAGTGTGCTATGTCTGCCCCTTCTTCTGGATTAATAATGTGTTTTCTCAGTTCCTGGTAATAAGTGCAACCTATCAATCAATTGGTTTATTATTGAACTCTATTTCCAACTAGTGACAAACTTGTCATCGCTGCCTCTCTTTTTTCATGTTGACACAGGTTTTGTATCTCCTTGCTCCGTTGTTCCACCCAACTGTAGCTTCCCTTTGGAAAGATGAGGTGAGAGGTTGTTTTAGGCTGTGCTCAGTGTGCTGTGCATTATGGTGCCAAGTGGCAAACTTATGTTGTGGTACTTCTTTCGTCTTTGCAGAGTATGTGACGATTTTGATTGGTGCATTTCTGTCTGTAGTTTCGGGAAATCTCTTCGGCTTTGTCATCTACCATTGTCTTTGTTTTGGTTTTTGGACTATTTCTCACTGAACTTGGCATTCTGTCCAGGTTAGTTGTGACATTGGATCGCACCTGTATATGCTGGATCTCTTTCGGGGATCATAGCCAGGTTGGGGGGGCAAGGGGAAGTGGGGAAGTAAACACAAGCAGGGACAAGTCATTGTTTTTGAATAGTTGAGCCAAGATTACATCGCTAATTAGTCTATAGGTAATCTGACCGGACATCTGGCACGTCCTGGGATCCCTTTGTGCAGATCCTTAGGTCCAGGCCAGACAATCAACCTCACGGCATGTTAGTCTGGGTGCACAAATTTGGCGTTTTTGAAAATTCTGAAATTTTGAGTCTTTTGACTGGCTTACATTCAGTAATATTGTAAATTTTGAGAGTGTTTTTCCCAAAAATCCAGAAAACGAACAACCTGGGCCTATTGGCCCTATTGTTTACTGCAAAGTTCCTACCAACTTAGTACGCGGTATAGGATTTCAAAAAAAAAGGAAAAAAGAAAGGAAAACAGAAAAGTAATGCCCTTCAATAAACTCCTTCAAACCCACGTTTAGGCCTTTTTTACCCCATCAGATCCCCTTGCAGCTCTGCCACTTTTTTTTGTAAAGAGGGCCGGATTTGGGCCCCATTTCTTAATCTGCCAACAAAATCTCAAAATATGCTTGAATTTTAATATCGGCCTAGATTACAAGATGTTTGGGACATGGATGTCTGGACCTGGATGTCCGGGCTCTTTTTTTTGGTCCATTTACCTGAATAACGAGTCAGAATGACGCTTTAAATCTTCATTAACCAACCCACTTTGTGGCCTCTGGTGATACACATTCTAAAGATTTTGCGACCTTGGGTGACAAGATCACAGTGAAGCGTTCATCTTTCCGATCCACCCTGAGGTGGGTGGTGTCGGCTCCATTCTTTCACAATCCTAGCCAACGCTACTTTTACCCGCACACCGTCTAGGTTTCTCTGGGCTGGACAGACCCATCCGTGTGGATCTCGGGCCCGACATTCTGGACAGCTGGGAGGGGCCTCACATTCAGGTTAGTGGCCTGCATACATGGAAGAATGGCAGACATTGCAGGCAATACATTATTCCCCATATTGTCTCGGTTTCCCTTCCTTTCTGCGTGCAGAATCAGGTGTATGTGTATGGGCAGGTGTGTGCTTCCCCCTTTGGTCGGGTATTTTCATATATGCGCAGGTCCACACCAGCACACCGCGGAAAACTCGATCTGACCCTGCCGCCAAATGGTGGATTATATTGATGCTTTTGGTGCAGATTCCCAAGATGTTGGCTTATGTGAGTGACAAGGATGAGTCTTGGCAGCAAGCACTCTGGGATGACATGGTCTTACATGTAAGTTTTTCCAGGCCAGAAGCGGGTGTTTGAGGGGTCAAAACTTCAGAAGGTTGAACCAACTTAGGGTATCTCCTTTTTTCAGGCATCACCCTGTACTGTGATTGGCTAGTTATGAGTGTCTGTTTGTTCTCAGGTGGGGGTTTGGGGCAGGTGCAACAGTGTTTTGGGCCGTTTCGGTTCAATGTGTGTCCTGCTTTTCCTCAAGTTGTCTGTGTTGCAGGCCTACTGGGCATTTCTGGCTGCCGGCATTGGATGTGAATGCATATGCTACTGGATAAGATGACAAGTGTGGAACAAGCAGAAGAGGTTATTTGTTGATGCATTGTAGGGGCATCAATGGAAGAAGAATGGCTAAGTGGCTTCAATCCGAAACAAAGAGTAAGATGAGGAGGAAAGTAGCACTTGGTGTTGGGGTTCAGAATGCGTTATGAGGATTATGGGTGTTATGTCAAAGGGGGGTTTCAAGGCATCTTCGGTACCATATCTGAGGAAGGATTAGCAGATAGGGAGGGGATCTAGGGTTGTGTTCACAGTATTGAGGGGGTAAAAGGGTACAGAAGGGGATAGCTGGGTTCTGAGGGGGAGAATGTTCTCAGGAGGGAAGTCAAGGGCCTCACTAATGTGCAAAATGAGAATGAATCTTCCGCTAGAACGTGGAAAGATACACGGCCATATTTTTTGTCTTTTGTGCATCTGGAGAGTAGTGCAGAGAGGCCAAAAGTCTGGCAGTATGCACGAAGGATGTCAAGGCTGGTCGGGGTTGCAAGAGGGCAAGGGAAATGTTGTACTGGGTCTGGGGTGAAGGGGGAACGTAAAGGGGGCTTGAGGAAGTTGGGGGTGTATAAAGATGCCCCATTAACCTGTTCACATTTATTTTCGCGCATTATTAGATTGACGCGACAAAAGGTCGAATTCACGAATTGCATAAAGTTAGCACCTGAGGGACTTGTTCAGACTTTGGCAATTTGTCAACACCTTTTCAAAGACGAAAGGGATGTTGTTCCCAGTTTACAGGCTCGTTGCAGACCCAGATGCTCCCATCTACATGAGCCATACCTGGCCGAAATGCCCGGCTCCACATTCCCTCAATGTATGGCTGATGATCACCCTGTAGCTGAAGCTGTCCTCGCAATGGCAGTGATGTCTTACCGTCCTTTCTTTCATGTTATCCCTTGTGAAGGCTTTTTGTATAGTTTTCTCTCTTTCTTTTAGTTGGCCAGGGGTTAATACTAGGCATTGTTGTATGTCACAGTGGTTAGACTCTCCAGCTCGCTCGTTGAGCAAGAGGTATTCCCATCAAGCCTGTAGCGTCTTCATCTACACGAGCCATACCTGGCCGAAATGCCCAGCTGTACGTTCCCTCAATGTGTGGCTGATGATCCCCCTGTAGCTGAATGGCAGTGATGTCAAACCCGTCCTTTCTTTCATGTTATCCCTTGTGAAGGCTTTTTGTATCATTTTCTCTCTTCTTTTAGTTGGCCAGGGGTTAATACTAGGCATTGTTGTATGTGACAGTGGTTAGACCCTCCAGCTCGCTCGTTGAGCGAGAGGTGTTCCCATCAAGCCTGTAGCGTCTTCACTAGCTGAAGCAGTGCTGGCAACGGTAATCACGTCAAACTTGCTTGCATCCTCTTTGGCCCCTGTTGCTGCTTTGCATCTGCAGTTCTTGTCAGAGACCGTGGATGTCATTCACGACCAGCAGTACTGTATGTCACTGGGTGATGCGTTTGGTGAGCAATATGATTTGTATGCGGATGATCATCAGCATTCTGCACTCCTCCACAGGTATACGATTTGCTGCTACCTTTGTTGTAAGTCTGAGCAGTGTTTGTTATTTGCAATACTGCCACATGTAGAATCACTGAAATCTGTCTTTCAGGACATCTGTTAAAATTGGAACGATACAGAGAAGATTAGCATGGCCCCTGCCCAAGGATGACGTGCATAAATCGAGAAATAAGTTCAAATAACCCAAATTAAAATTAAAAAAAATTAAAAAAAACGAAAAAAAAAAAAGAGAATCACTGAAATCTGGAGAGGAATATTTGTCCCCTTGCCAGTGTTGCCACCATGCGAATTTACACATGCTGTCAAGTCATTCTCTGAGGTAGAAACTCATTGGTTTGTGTTTGTAGTAGATGGGCAACCTCTGTGTGTGTGTGTGTGTGTGTGTGTGTGTGTGTGCACGTGGATGTGGTGGGGGTATTCTTATCTTGTCACCATTATTTCACTTGAACTAGCCTACCACAGCTGCCCAGGTCACCCAGGCCTGGGCATTACGGGCCCACCTGCGCCAGTTACCCAGGCAAGCCAGGAAATGAGTTCGTAGATTTGCTCGTGACAGGAAAAATATTTTTAAAAATAAAAAAAAACGCTTAAACCACAAAATAAATCGCGGAGGCAATTCAACACATTTTCAATTTTTGGCACTCAGTCGGTTCTCCACACTGTGCTACCGGTAGCCCTAACGAACCTGTGCTACCGGTCCCCCCAATTTGTTGACGTCGGGGGGAGTGGTTGTTTAAACAGTGGTTGCATATCGGAAGAAGCAAGAATGACCCTATCTGTCCTAACAGTTCAGATTTATGTGTGGTATGTTCAGAAAATGAACCAGAAGATATGGTACATTGCCTGCTACGCTGTAAAGAGGCGAAGGAATTTTGGGCGAGGGCTTCGGACCTCTGGGACTCCCTGTTCTCGACTCCCCTCCCTGAACACCCCATCCAACTCCTATGGACTAACATCCCAGCTCAATTCCACAAGACAGAGAAAACGTGGTTCGGAAGGATAAGAAAGGTAACACTGTGGTCCATCCGGAAGGAAAGGTGCTGCAGAACCATTGAGGGACTCTCAACTCCAAGGGAGAAGGTATGGGTGGAGAGAAGGACCTTGATTCAAGCAGGTGATTCAAGCAGGTATTCTTTGCAAGTGGCATAAAACGAGACACTCCATGCCAGATGACGAAGAGCAACAGAGAAGAATCAAGGCAAAATTCACTAAGGTGTGGCTCGCAGGGGGCAAAGTAGCAGAGATAAACGACTTTCGCATACGGTGGAAAGACTGGCACAATTCAGAAGCAGGGTGGAGGAGGCAGAGATCCTAGCCAGCAGATGGACAAGATCCATCACAGGCCATGTAATCTTGAAGGGCAAATTGTGAAACTGGATCTTCCGTAGCTTCTTTTACCTTTCTTGGTCGTTATCATTTATCTGACAGGTTTGTAATGAACCCAAACTCGTCTGTCCAGCAATACAGTATAAATAACAATGTCGTGTGATAAATTGTCCCAGAATAATCAATCAGATGGGAACACAATGAAGCACCCGATCTTCTGCTGCCACGTGTACATTTCCCATTCCAATAGTAACCAGACTAGAAAAGCAACGGGGCACGATAGACAGATACGAAGAGAAGAGAGGAAGTAGCAACGATGTCCCTCTTCTCCACCGGGCTCCTCCACCTCTGACACATCAGCAGTCTGATCACGATCTGACACGTGGAGAATACAGCCTTATCTCCAAAGAGCGCACCTCCGTTGATGAACAGTGTCAGCAGCAGCGTCAAGTGAGACCAGGTACGTACACAAGATGTCACTTTTCACCCACACTCTCTCTCCCTCTCCTCACTACCTCGCCGTCGTCAATGGCCGCAATAAGGGCCGTCATACTCTTTCTCTCTTTCTCTCTCCCTCTCTCTCTCTTCTATTGCACACAGCTGGCGCCCATGAAACAGACTGGCACCAGCTTCCCAACTCAGGTCTCACATGCAGTATTGAAGCCGTGAGCAACTCACAAGACTGATATAAAAGGGCCTTTACCTGATGCAGCCCCTGATCGACGGAAGCAGCATATTGGGGTTCCTCGCCCAGAGCCCAGATCGTGAAAGCAAATCAAAAGACATGTTCTCCGAGTCAAAGGTCACATCCTAGCTAAAGCAAAAGACAGTGTCAAGGGTCACAGTTGTGCCCCTGGACGAACAGTTGCAATATCTGAATATTTGGGTCACATCTGTTCATCCAGGGGGTGTGCAAGTCATACAGGGATGTGTCTGTACGTGCAGTCAATGTGTCTGTTCGTGCAGTAAGAATGTCTGTTCGTGCAAAAGATGTGTCTGTCTAGAAGGAAATCAAAGAGTTCAGTCCCAGTTCGGATTCAAGTCAGAAAGGAAGTCTAGATTCAGATTAGGAGTCCGAAATCAAGGCCTGAAGGCCGCAGCAGCAGCAACCCTTGAAGGAAAAGGTCTGGGACACATACACAGAGGCTGGGATTGGGAAAGGACCCAAGACAGACAGGATTCAGCCCTCGTTTGGGGAGGCCAGCACTATAAGAAACGAGACTGCCTCCCCCCAATGGAGATTTCCACTGGCATTGACGCGTGGAAGTGCTGCGGCACTTGTGCTCTAGCTGGCTGGACAGGCACTGGCTGAAGTAGAGCTGCGTCAGGAAGAAGGGAGGCTGGGCGCTGGCTGCAGGGAAGCCATAGCTGCGCCAGCTTATGTTAGTAGTAGGGAGTTAGTGAGTAGGATATCACTGAGTGACATTCAAAGTAGATCTTCCTAGGTGAGAGTGTGCATGCAGAGTGAAGAGAGAGAACCAAGACATAGTTCGAGAGAAGACAGGGAGTAAGTCTCGATATGGTGGACACTTACCTCTTGTTGGCGCTGAACTCTGGAACTCATGAAACTCTTTGTATTAAGTGACATTGATAATATAAGCTGCGCTACCTGGTTCTTATCTCATCTCTATCTGGTTTTGTGTGAGACCATTTTGTACGTGTGATGACATGTATGCATGCGGTGTGTTGCTCTCAAGCAAGCTGTGAACGGTCAGGTTCCTTGCAGATACCCAAGCAGTGGCGAAGTCAACTGTATGCATAGCATTGACTCGCGGTGGCCAGGATCAGCTTCCATCACAGTAAGGCCCGGGTCATCCAGATGTCAATGGTCCAGATGCAATTTGTCCCAGTTCCTGGCTGAATTCCATGAGGCCTGAATCTTCTGGAATCTGCAAACCACTGTCAGATCATTCCTGATCAATGGCCAGAAAATCCTTTTTCCTTTCGTTTTTTTTTTTGTTGTAAACAGGTCCTTATGGTCCTGGCTCCCTATCCATTCCTTGAACAAATAGGTCTGCTGTGTTCTCCCCCCTCCTGCCTTCCTGAACACCTGGCCGCTAACCCGTAAATATGTAAAACATCCGCTCCTGTAACTCCTGTTTGCTAAGCCCTTTCCTCTCAGGCTACCCAGGTAGCCTGCCATGTAGCTCCTGAATATCGAGAAAGAGGTTTAGCAAACTTTCCACCTATGATTCTACCTTTTCTGTCCCTAGTATATTTTCTCTTGCCTTTTCCAATCAGTCCTTCTCTAAGAAGCTGCCCTATAATCAGTCCTGTACCCTTTTGAATCTTCCATAAACCCTAAACCCTATCCTCACGACTTGCTTCCCACCACTTGCAAATGCTTTCCTCTCGTAACCTGAGCTTCGTTTCCGCATACGTCTTCTCTCTTGGTGTGGAGGTGCCTTCGAAGGTTCCGCTACCTCTTTCYTTCCCTCTGTCTCCCGGAGTCTTTTTCCTTTTTTCCTTTCTGCTACCCTCCATCTGATGRGGCTCCTTCTGACTTTATCTTGTTGTTCCTCGTCCTCTGGCMACCGAGTGCTTCTGTCCCTGTCGTTTGTAAAGCGTTTCAGTCTGAGGTGAAGTCTTCATCCCTGCCCCCCTCTTTTCACGGAGGTTATTCTAACCTTCAGCGGTTCAGCCGCTTCTTTCCTTCCATATGCCTCGTAGCGACGCCTTCCTTTTTGAACCAGATCATTGCTTTTTTTAAACTTATTGTAGTGGTCGGAGCTGTTGGTCAATAGGTAGGATTAGATGGGGTGCTCAGGGCAAGGAGGTTGTGAGAAGGAATCCTACCAGAGCGAGGTCCGTATTCTATATTCTGTCCTAATGGAACTACCGTTGTCTTTCTAGGCCTGTTACCGGTGTTAGTCATGGGGAATGTCAGTAAGAGGTTATTTGGTGAGGGTACGCGTTTTCTTGTTTCCTCCTTCAAGTTCCATTTGTGTCTATTGTGTGTTAGTTTAGAGCCAACGTCATATCTGTCAGATGTGTTCTGCTTCTTGGTGCTTCTAGCAACTGTGAGTGGTTTAAGTGTGTGTATCTCCATTGTCCAAATTGAATTTTGTTTTGATTTATTATTGCTATTTTCCCTTCTCCTAATACTTGTTTCTTGAATGAGTCTATTATTTTATCCTTATCTGCTGGGTTGTTGTCTATTTTCCTGCATGTCTTCTTCCATCGTACTCTGTATTCGGTCTCTATGAGGTTGAGGCTTCTTTCCCACGCTTCCTGTGCTGCTAGGGTGGAGTGCGAAATTGTTTCCTGTCACCTACACTTCCATATCATCCATAGTGTTGCGAGTCTTAATATGTGGAAAAGGGTGGTTTCGAACCCTTGCCCTACTTGTTGTGTGTGTAGACCTAGAAGGAGTGGGATCTGATCAGTTGGCAGGGCTTTGCCTGTAATTGAGTGCCATAGTTCAGACGCCTCCGCCCACAGCTGTTTAGCTTTTTGGCAGTGAAGTAAGCAGTGTTCTATATCCTCGACTGAGCCTTCCGAGCAAATTGCACAGCGTTCTTGTAAGGGGGATCTTGATTGAATGCGTCTCCTCTTGTTCAGCCATTGGTTAACTGGCAGTGCTCTGTGCACTAGTAGCCATTGAAAACTTCTAATCTTTACAGATGTGATGGCTAAAAATCCATTCCACGACGTGATCAACGCTCGGTTGG